CCCTCCACCCCCCCCCCCCTTTTTTTTTTAAATAGGAAGAGAGCTTCATTGACAGAAGGGGGCAATGGGTCTGGCAGTCGCCCACAGGTGGCTGCTCACTAAAGCCGGTACTCTGCACTGACAAACACCCCCCCCTCCCCCCAGCTAAAGTTGATTGCAATGGCACAAAGGGAAACGGGGAGTGAAACCAGGGAGGTTTCTCACTTCCCCTGAGGAAAGCTGAAGAGACTGAAGAACTCTGCCTGTCATTGACAGAAGGGGGCAATGGGTCTGGCAGTCGCCCACAGGTGGCTGCTCACTAAAGCCGGTACTCTGCACTGACAAACACCCCCCCCTCCCCCCAGCTAAAGTTGATTGCAATGGCACAAAGGGAAACGGGGAGTGAAACCAGGGAGGTTTCTCACTTCCCCTGAGGAAAGCTGAAGAGACTGAAGAACTCTGCCTGAAGCCGAGGATGGGAGAAGAGGAACTGAAGGGAGGAGGTGAGCTGTGCGTGCAAGGTGACAATCTGGGGACAACGCGAGCTCCCCTTGCGCATGCTCAGCTCGCAGGCACGGTTAGTAAAAACTCATGGGAACATCACCCGAAGAACAACAAATACTCTGGTCAAATCTACTGAAAACTTTCTCCACTTGTGACAGAACTATCCTGAAGGGCTTTAATATTAGGACAGCACAAAGAAGCTGATGAGTGTTGTCTGACCCACATCTCTTTTGGAAAAATCCTACCTGAGCTGGGTTACATTTCACATTACGTTTTTTTATTCACCCTGGTAGAATTTTAGACAAGTAATGCCAGAGCTCATTAAGGATATTCAGCAATAGCTAACTCTTTCTTGACAAAAGCTTCAGGGTGTAGCCGAGTTAGTCTGTAACTGGAAAATCTTAAACTTTTTTACTCTCTTGACAGATTCTCTCACCAAAGAAAGTAGAGTGTCTTTAACAAGTGTCGGTGTATACTTCAGACATTCTGTACACCAGCCTGTATTTGAATTGGGCATAAAGTTCAGCTAGAAAGATATAGAGCCTTACCTAATCTCAAATTGTCTAGTGCAGACAATCTCAGAAGTATGTAATGAAGAAACCAAGCCAAATTTTTTGATCTTCCCCAGGTGTTCCCAAGAGCAGCTGGGGTGCTGCCGGGTTGGTCCCGCAGCCCCGAGGGGCAGCACTACGGGATCAACCGGGTAGTACCCCAGCTGCTCTGTCCCAGGCATCCCCAAGAGCAGCGGGGGTGCTGCTGGGTTGGTCCCGTAGCGCTGCCCCTCAGCACTGCGGGACCAACCGGCAGCACCCCAGCTGCTCTGCTGCAGGCATCCCCGATTCAGCCACTGCTGAAACTGACCAGCAGCGGCTGAATCAGTCCGGCTCTGCTCCAGGCATTCCTATCGGAACGGGGGGCTATGAGGGGTTTGGGGTGGCATCCCCTCCCACTCCACTCCAGACCCCTCATAGCCCCCCCCTTCCGATAGTCCGGCATATCTAATAATCTGGCACCCCCTGGGTCCTAAAGGTGCCGGATTATCGGAAGTTTACTGTATTCAGGTATCTGACAGAGAGGACAGATTAGTTATGTTCCACTGGAGACAGATTGTCTTGGGAACTTGCTCAGTGAGATGGGATAATGATCTGAGCCTACGAATGCCTGATGGGTCCACTTTAAATGCAGACAAGATGGAAAATATGAAGGTGCAGAGCTGAGGTGGGCATTGCTCTGGATCCCTTCCCGTCAAGTAATTCACCTGGCAGTTTAAGTTGTGTCTGTTATATGGAGATAATGCAGTTTTCTGCTTTTCTTAGTTCAGAGCAACTAAAGAGCAGGCCATTTTACTTTAAATGCCCTAGGCTTGACATTAGCTGAGTGATTGTCTATAGAGCAGTGACTTCTATGTCCAACTCTGTTTCAGGGTGGAAGGAAAGGCTTCCAAGGATGGTTTTAGAAAAAAAAATTCTACTGATCGGCCTTTTTCACGTCCTAAAAGAACCTAGCAACCCTCATATTATTTCATATGAACCAGCCCTCCAGATTATTGATTTTATCTTGCACTTCTTGGATCAGACATTGCTGGTCTGCAGTGATCCTAAACAGCCTATATTATTTTCTAGAAAAGAAACTTTAGTTTCTGCCTCCCCCGTTCTTGAGGATAGTCCCTGCAAACTGAGCTGGTGTGCTGCACCTATCACTTTAATTTCAGAGATCTTGTCAGATATTTTTCTAAGCAGGATCTGTTCTTCGGATATTTGCTTTAGAATTTTATAAAATTTGTCCAGGCCTATCAGTGTCTCCTTATTGAGTGTGGCTATGCTACCAGGCATAGAGCTGTCAGAGAGCCTCCACTGCTTAACTGGAAGGGAGTCCAGGGAAGAAGGGCGAGGAAGTTCAAAACCATATCCATTAGTTCTATGATTTTAAAGAACAGGATGAACAATCTTCAGAGATAAAACCCATCATCTTAATATAGCAAATGTTGGCAGATGGGAGGGAGAGCAAGCAGGAGCTGTAGGCAGCTATTTTAATCTGCTGAATCCCATTAGTGACTGTTAGTTTTTAAATTAAGAGTAGATCTTTCCACCCCCTAAAAGATATGCTGTAGTGCAAACAGGAATTATTTCAGGGAATTTCCCAGCCTTTATTATGCAAGAAGGCATACCACATGATTACAGGGGCTACTTCTGGCTGAACAATCTAAGAATGTGTCTAAGCAATGAATAAATTAAAAGACAAACTTCAAAAACAGAACACATTTGATAAGAATTTTAAAATGTAATGAAGTGAAGTGAAGTCACTCTCATTCTTAAGGACATTGAAGTCACAATATTTTTAAATGATGCGGCTTTAGTCTAAGCACATCTGTTTTCTTTCATGCTTTAACAGCTTCCAAATGATATAATACAGCCCATAAGGCCTAGAGTCTGACCAAGCTCACTGAACTCAGTGATAAGACTTCTATTTTCTTCTATGGGCACTGGATCAGGCCTTCAATGCTTGGGATAAAAGAGGAGGTTGCATTGCCAGAAGTACAATGGCTCCTTGAACTATTGATATATATGTAAGCTTAGCTTGTTTCTTTATTAATAAAAAAAGGCGATAGCTAATGTTTAGTGCAAACAATTAAAATGAGAATGAATATTTTTGCTCTCATAGGCCATAATTCAGGGTGGTACAGAAGCATATACAGGAGGCCCCTGACTTGAGACAGCCCAAATTCCAACCCCTCGTGCTTACAAAATAGGTTGTAAGTTCAGAAGGAGTCAAAAAACTCCAACTTACATCCTTGGCCTGCATTTACGACAGCGTATGGCGCCTACCGTAAATGAGGGTTTGCGTTATGACGCCCCCAACTTGCGATGCTTTCCCAGAAACCAATCGCATTGCAAGTCAGGGGGCCTCGTGAAGGTAACTTTAAGCATGTAAATAGTCTCATAGACTTCACCGTTTGAAGTTAGGCAGATGTTTAAGTACCAGGTTGAATTGGAACCCAAAACACCTGAACAAACTGGGATATGTAGAACTATGATTACATTAAATAATCTTTAATAATATGGCTCAGCACATTAAAAATTCATGTGGCAAGAACTATTTCTTGTCATATAAATGTTATATTATTTTCAGGTATGTAATAAAAAAATAGCCATATATGCATCTCTTGTTCAGGAAGGTAACTGCTATGAGACGACATCATCTTAAGAGGACTATTGGGAACTCAATGTTACACTAGCAGTAAATTACACTTTGGCTTTTCCTATAGTATCAGAATGTTATTAATATTAAATATGTAAATAAATTTTGTTTACATACTAGACAGCTATGAATTACAATATGTACAGTACATGAATCCATTTAAAGATCTGCCTTTACAAAAAGCAAGTTACCTTTAAGACATTAGCTAAGTGTTCTGCTCCCCGCCAGGTTAAATTACATCCTGTAAAATTTATAGATTTGATGTTGGCTGAGTTCTTCACACTTTGACAGATTGCTGAAGTTAAAAAGAAAAAAAATTAAGGTCAAATCATTAAAATGAATAATACTTACTATGTTTCTCACTATGGTGTTATAAAAGTATAATTCGGACATTTGGAAAGGACCTAGAGCCTTGAATGAAGTATTGTAGAAGACCAAGATAATAATCAATTAACTGTTTCATAACTTTTTGCATACAAACATCAAATATCTTTAAAATAGGTATATTTCAGAATTGCTTTATATGGCACATTAAAGCAGTACAGATACTGCACATGATAAGAGGAAACTACTGTATTTCGTGATTTGTAGAAGTAACTTTTCAACATAACAGTTAGTTTACTTGCAGTATGCTGGTAAGATACTATTTTATTTCAGTGTGAAGAATGTTCAAAACCAAATACACATACACAAATGATTGGTAGTCACAGTAATGACAAGTCTTATACAGGCAGTCCCCGAGTTACGCGGATCTGACTTACGTCGGATCCGCAGTTACAAACGGGGCACTTCCTCTCCCTGGTCTCGAGCAGACCAGGGAGAGGAAGCAAAGCGGCGGCTGAACGCGCGGCCAGCTGACAGCCCACACGCGTCTGGGCTGTCAGCTGGCCGCGTGTTCCGCCGCTCTGCTCTGCTCTGCTCTGCTCTGCTCTGCTCTGCTCTCCCTCCCCCTGGTCTGTAG